TATTCTTCCTCTCTTCTTGGTGTTTTGCCAAGTAATTCTGTGGAGATTAAAGTTAGTCCACTGGGTGTCTTTAGGTAGGATGCTACCTGCTTCATTCTTATTTATGAGTTCTGAGTTTGGAACTTTTTAGTTTTGAGATCACAGGTGTAACATAAGGGAAAAGAAAGCAACATCCATTTTCTGATCAGCAAAAAAAGCTGTGTCTAAGTCAGAGAATGCCATAACACAAAACGTGTTAGAAAGAGCCGTTTCAGAAAAGAAAGATCCAATCTCATGGTTTTGTGTCTGTTTTTCTGGAGCCTCTGTGCTTTCAGTTATACTGGGAAGGGAAACTGTGAAAATACTTGTAAAGCTGCTTAATTTTTCTCCCAAAGTGTATCAAATTTGTAGTTACATTTTTCCCTGATTCACTAAGTTTAATATGACTTTAAATGAAATAATTCATTAGAAATACAGAAGGAGGTAAAGTGGTTTTCCAGACTTGTTTGAAAGAAAAACTGAATATTGCTGTTGGTTGTTAGCATGCTTGAGGATAGGGGTGAGATGCTTTATAAACTTCAAATTAAATAAGGTTCCTGTGGTAAAATAAAATTATTTTTTAATTCTGATCCGCAGTATGTAAAAGAGAAATGGGGGAGATGATTGGTAAGTGAGGGAACAGAACTGAAATAAAGATATTAATCTGATTGCCTTAACAAGTTATTATTCACTGTACTCATGAAGGAAGAGTATTTGAACAGAAACATGTTCTTGTTACTGAAGGCAGCCCTGTATATTGGAATGATTTTAAATGTGAGCAAGAAAACAAAGACAAGAGAACTTTGCTGGCAATATGTTGATGCTGAGACTTTCAGTGGAACTGCTGGAATCTCCAGATCTGTCACAATATTAGGCTGGAATTAATAAGACCTTTCAAGGTGAAAATAGGCTTTATAAAACTGAAAGTTGAGTCTAAAGGAAAGCAGTAACAGCTTCATATTGGGAGTAATTTTGTCCCTTTTATTCCTAGATGAAAATCTGAGAATATTCCATTTAAGTAGCTTCTAAGTAATCTGTAAAACAAATACCTCATTGATATTGTAGTTCTCCTTCACAATAAACATTGCAGACCTATGACACCATGCTTGAAAAGAAAGCAAACAAGTTTTGGGCTATGTTAAAGTCATCTGAAAGACAGGTAATTATCACCTGAATATGAAAAGAGGATCATGAGATAAGTCCAATATACATGTGTGAGCCTACAGTGTTTGGCATTTGTTATAACTGTTCCATTTGTAAAATGATTTTTCTAAAGTATATTCTGATTATAAAAATTTATTATTAGGATACCCCTACTTTTACCCTATTTTCACACCATTATTTGCAAAAAAAAAAAAAATTCTAAGGTAGTCAGCACAAAATTCTATGCTGGTTTACTTGTGCAGAAAGTATTTTAAATTGTTTTAGATTTCTTCCCTACTACGTGGTTTGTTGAGTTTTTTGAGGGGTGGTTGATTTTTTTACATTCTGTTGTTCTTTAAGTGATATTTCATCACTTCTACATTATTCTACAAAAGTAGAATAATAATCCACAGTATAGACCATGTAAGGCATTAGAAAAAGTTTTATTATTGCTAAAAAGCAGTGCACTAGAAAAAGAGTAAAAACACCAAGGTTCACTAACTCAGCCTTATTGGTGTATAGTCCCAGACTGTTGTCAAAGGAACCTTTATCATTACTTTATCTTAAACATATAATATGCATATTGGATGACCATTATCCCTTTATTAAATTCCAGTAATCAAAAAATCTGAGGCCCAGCAAAATGGGAGAGAGAAAGGAAATAAATAGAGCAAAGTGTATGTTACTTGCATTGTGTATCTGCTTGCAGGATGGGGGAAATAATGAAATTGTGGTAATGTGTTGTTTCCTCTCTACTAACATTGACTGTGTGTTCTGTCCTAAGAAATGTCATTAGTTGATGTTGGTGTCTGGTTCTTATTTTTATAAATCTCTTGGACACTGCCTGTCTTTTCAGAAGAAGTTAATTACTTAGGTGCATTTTAGTAACAAGCTTGAAATAACTCACTTAGAAAAAATATTGATTTATTTAAGAAAAACCTTCCATCCTGGCATACTTATGTGTACAAACATATATAGTTTTACCGTATTTAACTCAGTCCTGCAGCAGCATTTTAATTCACTCTTTATCAGATGTTCACATACTTTTCCTGATAAAGATATAAGAAGTCTCCTTTTTATCTCCTATATAATGTGATATTTTTACAATTTTTTAAAACAGAAAACTGAAAATTCATTTTTACAGTCATATGCATACATTTTTTTAGTGGCTCACATCAGTATAGGATCTGAATTTCTGTCTTTATCTCCTCTCCCTGCAGTTGTTTCTTTAAGTGCTGCAAACTAAGGGCTATCTATTCCTGTATGGCAAGCCTGAAAGAAGTGCAGGAATAAGCTATGAGTCTGATGTTGCTATCAAACTCCTGGAAGGTCTTTTCATGCTAATTTGGAAAGAAAATTTTTTTTTTTTTTCAGAAATAATTAGAATATGTCCTCTGTAGGTCTGTGAGCATGTTTGAAAGCAATAGTGCTGCTGCACGTGGAGCAATATGATAAGATTGTACAGTTGCCTAAGTTCAGAGAGGGTTTTTGAGTGGCTTTTTATGATGTAATTTTGGCAACATTATTGGTAGAGAACAAAGGACTGGAGAATCAGAACACTGAAGAAAAAGAGCAGAGAAATGGAAGTTTTTATGTTGGTCAAAGGGTACTTTAAAGGGATGTTGGACTAAGCTGAGGGAACATAAATAGGGGTATGAAGCTACGTCAATGGAATAAATTCTGCGTAGATATGTGTAAATAGGTAGTTTGGGGACTGAAATAGTCCACTGGAAGTGATGAAAGAGAAGGAGCTTTTGGACTCCTTCTTTTCCACTGTAGCCTCTAGACATGAAGAGGCCTGCTTTATCTTCGCTCTGTACTGCATAGAGGTGAGCTGTGAACCATGCTTCAAAAACTTATTGTTCATACCGTGTGACTCATGCCAGCTGTAGGAGTTGAAGGGATTACCATTGGAGCAGCATGAATTCCTTGTCCTGTTTGTGTGTGTTTTGAAATACTACATATATTTGGGTTTTAGAGATCTGAGTTAAAGTGTGTTTTTTGTTGTAGAAAGACAGAAGTTATCACTAAGGAACCTTAACTCTGTGCTTATGGCATTTTTATCTCTATGTATTCAGATTCCATACAAAACAGTTAAATGACGTTTAGGTTTAGTTCAGCGAAGCCTATTGGACATCCTGGGAATTTTGGGGCATTTCCTCATCTGCATCTTGAGAAGATTCATTGCACGTTTTTCTCAGTTAGGAATTCCCAGCATTTCCCCAGTCAGGAGAGTTTTGATTTTGTACAAAAAAATAAAACTTTTGTGGAAAGGTAGGAAAGAAACCATAATTTTGTATAATAATAAAAAGTTGAAGACTGTCAGTGTCTTGTGCAAGGGAAGCCATCTTCACTCTTCGTCTAGCTGAATGTGTAACCAGCATTTAGGCGAGAGTCTGAGGGTGAAAGATGGGTGGTTTTCCATCATTTCGTTTTACTGACTGTTATTAAAGTAATTGCAGTCAAAATTAATTACAGGAGAAATATTCTTCAGTACAATGAGCAAGACTTGGACTTTTTCTGGATTTTGTAGGGCTTTCTTCCGAGAATGATTAGTGGGGTTTCCATAACCCAAAGTCAAGTGCTTTTGTCTTCTTTTTGCATGATGCTACATTAAATTAGGTTTTTTCAAGCAATCTTTTTAGCAATCATTTTTGCATATCTTTTTAATTTTTATCACATTTCTCCAAATAATTTTTATAGTACTTTAAGTACTTTGACTGTCTACAGGTGTACTACCAGAAAAGAAGTCATTGTAAGTTGCTTAATGTTTCTGTGAAAATAAAAACTATGTAAAGAAAGAAAATACATAGTTCATATTGCATGATCAAAAGTTGCTAAATTGTCCTATAGTTTCCAGAAGTTAAAATAAATTCTGCAGTCATGCAGCTGTCTATTTAGTTCCCAGCATGCTGGAAACATAAACAGATCTTTCCAGCTTCACTGGAAAGCTACTTTCACAGAAACAATGGCTAAATAAGACACTGGTACAGACTACAAGCAAGGAGTTCTTGCAGTTCTCCCCTTAACACATTTTCCAACATGCAATGATTTGCCTTCCCCAGCTATGGGATAAATAAACACTGATTTTGACATAATAAAACTTTGAACTGATTTGTGACTCATCCCTGCATTAAAGACAAAGGGTGTTTTTCTCCTCTTCCTGGCCACCCTCTATAGGATACAGCTGAGAAATTCTATTTAACATCCGCTGAAATTACTGAAAGCTCTTTGGCTAAAATCAGAAGTTGGATCAAGCAGGTTTTGTCTTTGAACTATGCTCTGAAGAGAAGAATTTTTTTTTCCTTTGCCTTGGCATTAAATGAGATATCACCTATTAATTTTCCACAATCAAAGCAATGAGAGTATTAGCATCAAAAGAAATCAACAAATAATAAATTATTCTTCTTCAAACTGACTTCCTTTGCACCTGATCTTCTATAAGGCAATACTGCATGTACATGCTAGAATAGTAGACAAGTCTTTACAAGATTGCAGCTTGATCACTCAGTTTTATCTGTATTCTAAAATATTATTTATTATATATTGTGCAAAAATTAAACCTAGTCTGAAGTGTTTACACATTCCACTGATGTTACACAGATTAGTGTTTATTATTTATTAAGGATATTTTCCTTAATATTGTTAATATATATGTTAATTATTTCCTGTAATATTAAATATCCTTAATCTGCATACACTGCTGTTCATAACTACAGTTTCATTAGCAAAGTGGGGAGAGAATGTGTTTGTACCTGCATACAGCTTTTTAATCAGTAGCTTCTCTCTTTCTCCTTTAACTTTTCTAACATGGCTTTTTTATTAATAATCCTTTACAGAAAAAACAGAGAACAAAGGATCTGTCCCAGCTGTTTCATTCATACAATCCATATGATCATAAGGTAAGGAAAAAAGTATACTATCTGAGTTTGATGTTAAGAAAAATTCCGAACATTTGTGGTAACAATATTTCTTGTTCAATTCAAAATTCAGGAGAAATTATAAAATTGAAAGCACTGTGCATGTTACTTAAATTTCGCTGTCACATAAGTGTTTCTTTATTTCTTTAAGCCAAGTTTGAAAAGGTGCATTTTCTGATTTGTGGAACTAATGACTCGCATTAACCTCACAGAAGTATAATTTATAGACTGGCACTAAGTCCTGCAAAGTGACCACATGTGGTATTGGATTCCCCTCTTTTTTTTCCTCTGTGTTTAGGAACTGGCTTACCCTAGAGTATGTTGCTTAGCCTGTTGTGTCAATTAGGCCCTGAGATACGTGATACTAATGAATTATCTATTGATCACAAAAGCATCATTCGAAGAGGCTGCTGCGTGAACAGCCTGGTGGTTTTCTGGGGGAAGAAGCAGAAACACGCATCATTATAACTTGTTTGTAACATCTGGGGGAAAATAAAAAGGTCCTTTCTCATTGCAATGTGAAATTAAAAAAAAAAAAAAAAGTTGTTACAAGAAGATTTTGGAGAACCAAGAGACTGACATCACAGTATTTCTGTGCTATAGCTATGTCATGGTGTTCTTCTAGACATTGTGCAGAAGACAGCATTAAGCAGCAGATTGAATGGAAGGAATGTTAAGTAGGTTTTTAAATATTTTCATGGAGTTCCTCCTATCTTTGATGCCTCTGTGGGCATATTCTTTTAACAAGTGCACAAAACCCTTTAAAAATTTGTCAGCAGTATGAGATGTCTGTCTTTGCTGCTTCTGTTTTGAGAAGTGTGAGTGATTTTGCAAGTATCCATTAAAACCAACAAAGATTTGAAACATTTCTGTTGTTGTTGTTTAGATTGCAAAGTTTTGAACTCTATCTCTTCTTTTCCTGGACATGTACCAAATACATTGGAAAAAACAGCTAGGTTTTATATTTGTGAGAAGAAGGTGGCAGAAGTGTGTATGTGCATCTATCTCTTTGTAGGAACACGTGCACATATATGCAATAGATGTGTAACTACACATATGTCAGTGAGAAACACAGTGTGTAAATGAATAGGTTTATCAGGCAGGTTGTTGCTGTGAGAGTTCTGTAGTTACCGGACACTTGAAAATTTAGTTTAAAAATACATTGTAAAGCAGTTATATTCCATAGCTTTTACAATTGTACCTAAATTTCAAGTTAAATTCATCTCTGCTTAGTACTTCTTTTATAAATAGTCTCGCATTATTTACAAAGACTGGTGGAGCTGATATTAATGGCCTGTGAAAATGGCCTTAATGGAGAAACATGAAGAATAAAAAAAACCAAACTAGTGTGATAAGATTTTGAATGGGATTGTTGCTCCTTTGAATTGAAGCATTTTAAGGTAAATGTAATAGTAAGTCAATTAAGATCTAGTAAGGTGATGCAACTGGTGAACGAGAAACTTTGATATTCCTATCCATGTCTTAATTCTCCTGTACAAAACACTTTTTATTCATAGTACAAGGAAATTCCATTATTCTTTTATTAGCACTTTTAATGGAACTTGGCCATTTGTAACTCCTGCTGTCTTCCTGCTCATATCCTTTGTGGCGTTATATCAAAGTATTCTCAAATGGTTTTGGCTGCAGTTGTGAGGACTTCTGCACTCTTTACAAATTAGTCATCACACAATGTGGAATGGAATATAAATGCTTAAATATATTCACTTTTTATCTTTGTTTTAGGACCTTTAATATATTATTAAAAGTAGTACAGTTGTTTGATGGATGATTTTTGTACCGCCACACTTTTTTTGCTTCCAAGCATATTCTGTATATATATCTGAGAGTACAAGTGCAGGGGAAGAGACAAGTGAAAGTTTGTATTAAAGTTATGGCCTTTCCATATTTTCCATTTGACAGTGAAGGTTTTCTTCTCCTGACTACTTCCTATTTGTAGGCTGCAACAAGCTCACTGCAGATTTCTTGCTCTGTGCTTTTAATTTCCAAATCAGCTTCCAGTTTCACAAGTGTTGCAGTTTAGGGGAGGGCTTTTAATTTTTGTATTAAATCTAACATTAGTTGGGAATTCGGTTATTTCTAGTGGAGGTGTGTATTAGCTTTAGTTCTGTTTTGTTTGATTTACATGACCAAAGGTTTTGAAGGCAGGCTGGGGGCACATGTTGTTTGCTATTTTGTAGATTATTTTCAGGAAGAAAGGAGATTTCACAATGACTTTGTGAAACCATTGGTGACACAGGGTCATGGCATGAGTGATTGGAAGTAGTAGCTTCCAGGATTATTTCTTTGTTGATTAAACGATTTTTCTCTGAAAACCTTTCTAAAATAGAAGAAAAACTTAAGGTTTAAGTTTGTGCTTAGTAGAAGTAATTAAAACAGATGTGAAAATCTCATTAATTACAGTGGCTTAAATGGGACTTGCTACAAAGATTTGACAGTACTTCATCTTTTTAGGATGGAGTATCTCATACTAAGGAGAAAAACTAATCAGAAAATCAGAAAGTGTTCATTCTTCCATGCTCGCATTTCACTCACTAAACCAGAAAGTGATATTTTGATGCAGTAGTTATACTAACCTTACTGACCTTGTTACTCTTTATGCATGGTCAGGAGGCCAATAGCTTAGAAACAGTAACTGTTCCCCCGAAAATGTAGCCTGAATATATATTTGCCAATCTAGTGTAACTTAGAGCATCCTGAAAAACATTTAAATGCTTGTGGTTCTTCTTTCCCAGATGAAAACCCTGCGGTTTTATAGAGGTGGAAACAAGGATTTACTTTCCCTTCCACTTTCAGGTGTTAAGTTTTATCTTTTATCCAATGAGGCCTTAATTTAGCAGCAGAGGAGGCAGAACTTTCAAATTCCTCCTGCAGAAAGAATGGAAAAGCAGGAGATACTCTGCTGATGCCAGGGGAGAATTAGCTGAGCTCCTGTATACATTAATTCCTAAACAAGTATAAATTACCATCTAGTTGCCCTTCTCATTGTTCAGATGAAACCTTTCAACAGCAAATCTCAAAATTTTCCATTATATACTTCTCCTATCCAGGCACATTTGATCCTGCTCCCTTTAACCCAGTGTTACTAAAATGCTTTACAGAGCCTCTGACTACAGAACCTGCAGGTCTTTCAGATACTGTGCCACAGACAAAGCTCATTTTAGCATCAGTCATGAATGCCTAGCAAATATATTGAATTCTTCATGTCAGACACATACAAAGAACTGCCTTTTCTCATTTTTTTCTTTTGTTGTTCTTAAATATCTTCTAAAATTCATTATTTTCAGAACTAAATAATTACTTAGGAAATGCTGAGCAATATCTTTTTCCAGGTGTGTGATTGCCATTTATTCAAACTTATTTCAGTTAGCATGTGTAAAAATACATAGCACTCTCTTTGTAGATGAAGTAATTCCTTGTTCTGAAATACTTGCTTTTCATTTTTATGGAGAGTAAAAAAATGTATGGGTCTGGCTTTCTTGAGAGTCAAGTTCTGATTGCTGTGTAACTTTTCTCTGTTTTATATACAGTTAATCTTTTTCTAGGACCATCAGAGAAAGATGATAAAATTGACATCCTCATAATGCTGTACCAACAACTGCTTTAGTGTTTTAAAATGTAAAAGTAGATAATTGAGAAGCTATAGTCTGGCCAGTTTCCTGCAAGCTCATTTAATTAAAGATTATGTTTGCACACAAGTAATTTCTGCTGAATGTTTTTTGTGTGTACACTGTGAGGTTTCACTTTTCACACAGTAAGGATTTTATTCTTTCTGAAGTAGATATTAGGCTCAGAAATAATGGAATTTGAGCTCTCTCTGAAATGACTCTTGCTCTTTAAAATTTGTGAGCCAGTTGTTGTTTTTTTTTTAAACTGGTCAAGTCGTTGTTATAATAGTTTAGTGGTCAAAAACAACAGGTTTTATAAGCTTAATAGGAGTTTCAGGATCCAGTATGCACCTAATGGCGAAATTCAGAAGTGCAGAGCCCTGGTTCCTTTTCTTTTTTTTGTCAGATGAGTTTAAGTATTCAGTCCTGCCCTGGAGTGGTTGTTTAAAACTATAATCCTCAATTTTTGCTCTGCAGAAAATTTACATGTTGTAAGCTCAGTATATCAGGACTACTGCACATTTTGCTGCTTTGCTTTCTTGGGAGGATACCCAGGATATGTTAGGGCATGTCCATACACGCCTCTGGCAGCACGGGGCTCCTACAGTGAGAAATCCCCTGAGAGTTGTGCTTAAAACTCAGCTTAAACTATTTGTTTCTGCCTTCTGCAGCCTGAATTTCTTGCTGTACAATAGGGCATGATCTATGAAAAAATAAGGCCATGTCATATAGCTTTGGAGATTTATTTTAGCATATACTGTGTCCAGCTCAGTAAGAAATATAGTCAACACTCATGTGATTTGAAGAGTTTTTTGAGAGATTTTCTCCCAAACTGAAGGTGTGCTCAGGATTAAAAAAAGTAGTTGCTATTTTAAAATGTGCTATAATTGATGCAATTCTTTTAAAATAATTGTAAAATTTTTAAACCTCATGCTTCTAATGTTCTTTATTAATGTGTTCTGGAAATGTTACAATACTCAAAAAGCAAAACCCCCTAGCCAGTGCCTGTGTGTTTGGCAAGTTATATGGACCATTGTATTGTGATACACAATTAGGTGACAACAAAGATTTTCTTGGTTTTTTGGTGGGTTTTTTTTGTCAGCTTTTAGTGTCATAAGCAATTTTGGGAAGCAGGGAGTTATGTCTGTTGTCTTTGATAAGGGTAGATATGTGCATAACTCACTCAAGAAACATTATTGACAAGATTATAACAAGGCTATTCTTGGTACTAATGGCTGCTGCCACTTAGAGACCTATGATGTTCTCAAGCAATTATTTCAATAGTACACAGACCCTATGCTTAATGGAAAATAAATAATCTAGTGTCAGTTTCCTTAAACTGAGGTTTCTTCTGCT